ACACCTGCACAAGCTTCCAATGATAGAGGGCGCAGAGGGCGCAGACAGGCACTGGGAGCTTTGGGGCCGTGCACGGGTTCAGGCTGACTCCCTGGCTTGGCACTGGGGGTCATACCTGGCGGGGCTTGGGGGACCGTATGGGGTGCCAAGGAACGAACCCGGGTCTGCAAGGGACAAGGCAAGTGCCCTACCCACATTAGTATCTCTCTGGTCCTGGTACGCCGGTTTTAGAAGACATTATCAATCTGATGTATTTCCCCCTTGCATCTTCCCCTTCATTCCGGTATTTATTTTCCCTTTCCCTCCGTTTCTCGCTGAGGCTAAGGGTCGCACACTCTAGATGGTGGTTACTCACTTCGGGCAAGGTCCCCACTTGGCCTGCCAGAACTCCAGCCATGCTCAATTTTCCCTATTTCCAGTGAAGAATGTGCCATAGGAAAAACATCTGGTTGAAAACTCAAATATATCAATGCTTTTGGGTCTACAGATTCTCTTAAGGGACTCAGCATGGAGAAACCTCACCCCACAGAAGAAAGAGCCAGAGTTCTGGCCCGGGCACCCCTAAGAGCCAACCTGACACTTTGAAAGAGAAATTGTTCAGAAGTGCTCCCTGTCATAAAGATAGTAAACAAAGCATATAAAATCATATTTGCAAACAAAACACAACCTTTCAGAAAAAGGCAATATTTAAAAAAGAAAAACTCCGGGGGGCCAGATAGATAGCATAGTGGGAAGGTGCTTCCCTGGCATCAAAAGTCAAATATGGACCCCTGAGGACCCCCAAGAGTAACCCCTGAGCATCACCAGGTGAGGCCCCAAGCAAAAACCAAAGAAAAGCAAACAAATAAATATGTGCTGAAAATAACCAGTAGGAAACGGGCTAGGACGGGCATGTGGGAGAAACAGAACTTCCCGCACACCCTGCACCCAGCCCTGAGGTCACACTGCAGAACCTCGAGAGTTTGAATGAAAAATGTAAGCAATTTTATTTCTAGAAAATGATAATATAAGATAAAAGTCTTCAGGTCTTGCCAAGAGTCAATCAAGGGGAAAGGCGAGTCATGGAAACAAAATCACTCACAAAGGGCTAACTGGAAAAACACAGTGATAGACTTGACTATTTCTGGCTGGAGCGGCCCTGCCTTCCACTCTCAAAGCTTCCTCCACAGCCACAGTGAATTCAGGGTGGGACGGGCACAAGGACAAACATCGAACAGCAGCAGAGAAACACCAGAAATAAACACATTTAAGGACAACTGATTTTTGAGAATTCAGTAAGGGCAACAACAATTTTAAGCCAATTTGTTGGAACAGGAGGGTCTCCATAAGCAAGAGGAGCAGCGGCCGGAGAGACAGCACAGGAGAAGACGCTGGTCTTGCACGCAGCCAATCTGGGTTCTAGCCCCAGCACCACATATGGTCCCCGAGCAAGCGCAGGAGTGATCCTTGAGCACAGAACCAGGAGTAAACCTTGTGCACTGCTAGGTGTGGCCCAACTCCCATCTCTCCCCAAAAGGAAGAAACTGGACGCATCCAGGAATCACTAAAATGCCAGTGTGAGTGTTACCATCACAAACGAGGCAGAAACAAGTGTCAACTTCAAAGGGCAAACACTTAACTTACTCTGAAGGAGCCCTCCGACTCCATGGAGAGAAGGTCCCCGTCGAAGGGAATGAGGTCCAGGCTGTACTCCTCCCTACGGATGAAGGAGCCCAGGACGCCCAGCCACTGCTCACACAGCAGGCTTCGCCGGGGCAAAAACAAAATGTGGAAATCTCTTGTGGGGCCACGTCTGTCTTCACCGCAAGGGAAGGACCGTGCCTTCGCCCGTGGCCCCAACACGAGGACTGCTCCCCAGGGCCCCACCTGTGCCTGACACACAGTGGGCTCTAAAGAGACGCTTATGAGCTAACCACCCACTACTGACTCGGCCTAAGTTTCGAGTTTTCCTGCTCTCTTGATGTGATGCTTTTTCTGGAAACCGCTGACCTATACTCTGCCAAGGGGCAGTGCTGCTTTCTCTTGGGCCATTGATGGGACATGAAAACTCTCAGGGTTGGGGCTGGAGCAACAGCACAGCGGGTAGGGCGTTTGCCTTGCACGCGGCCGACTCAGATTCGATTCCCAGTTCCCAGCATCCTATATGGTCCCCTGAGCACCACCGCAGGTAATTCCTGAGTACAGAGCCAGGAATAACCCCTGTGCATTGCCGGGTGTCACCCAAAAAGAGAAAAAAAAAACCCAAAAACCTCTCAGGGTTATTGCAATGGACATCAGTTTCTTGCAGAAAAAGAAAATGTTTCTATTTAATCAAGCGATGTCTCTAGGAAAATAAAAAGTTGCTTCACACCATGCCCGATCTTGCGCAAATACCCCGCATGCTTTTAAGTCCATTCGTAGGGGCCACGTCGATCAAACGTATGCAGACTGGGCTGGTGCATTTCCTCCATAAATGCTGCAGCATTAAATTTTAATCAGCTTCTCCTGACGTTGCTTATGAAATTTGAGCATATGGTATTCAGTACTTGAAAAAGAACTACTAGCTGTTTTTCTTTTCATAAAAAAATCTGGGTCCTTCTACTGAGACAGGCCGGAGCTTCCTACTGTCCTAAGAGAGTGGGTTTCTGTGGTTTGCCCTGCCTCCCCAAGCCCCAATGCACAAAGTTTCCCATTCTCTATTTATAGTTTTTGGGCCACACCTGCAGGTGCTCAGGGATAACTCCTGACTATGCACTCAGAAGTCACTCCTGGAAAACTTGGGGACCACACTGGGTTCCGAGGATCTATCCTTGTCTGGCTGCAGAGTATCCTACTCCTGACCCCCCATTCTCCTCCGACACACTCTCACATCTGTCCAAAGATCCACTTCCTAGAGCGCTGGCAAGCAAAGGTGTCCTGATGAGCACTAAAACCACCAGAGGAATGATTCCGTATGGACCAAGCATCAGTTCTGAGATACCTAAGCACATTTTCAGCAATTATATCCATCAGTTCTAGCCGGGGTCTGACGAAAAAAATGATATTCTTGACATCCGCTGCTTGCAAGCGGCTTCCTTTGAGTGTGAACATTTTCTCCACCTCATGTTCCTAGGAAAGCACACATACAAATGGTGAACAGAACCCCTAAAGCTTAGCAGCCGACCCAAACGCGGACATCACTGCAGGCAGCCAACCTGGGTTCGATTGCCGGCCTCCCACACCGTCCCCAAACACCACCAAGAGTCATTCCTGAGTGCAGAGTTAGGGGTAAGTCTGAGCACTGCCAGGGGTGGCCCAAACAAAACAGACCAACAACAAAAACTCAGGTGTTCTAACACTCCCACTCCAAAGCACAGTAGACTTTAGTTTTGAGTCAGAGAATGCAGGGGTTTCGGTACATGCCTGACACATGACTGCCAACTTCGTCCCCTGGCACCACAAGGGTCTCAAGCATTGCCATGTGCATCCCAAGAGAGGCCACTGGAGTGGCCTGGGATATCCCTCCCACCACAGCACCAAGCCTCATCGAACTGCTAAGACTCACCACCAGGAGGTGCCCAGGGGCAGTGCTCAGGAGACCTGGGGCTAGGGAGAAAGTAGAGTGGTGAAGGTGCTTGCTTTGCATTCAGCTGACCCGGGGTTCTATCCCCAGCACCCCATACTGTCCACTGAGCACTGCCAGGAGTGATCCTAAGTGCAAAGCCAGGAGTAAGTCCTGAGCACTGCCTGGCACAAGCCCCCAAACAAAATTCAAAACCACTTTAGGATAAAAATTTAGATTCCCCAAAGCCAGGTGTATAAATTCAGGCTGAAGTAACCAATCCTGTGTCTGAAAAACTTGGAGCCACATGAAGTAACAATCAGAAGACATGCCGCTCCGTCAAGGAGAAGAGGGGGGTGCACCCCCACCCTTGAAAGGTCCACTCAAGGCTCCTATGCTGCCTGAGCCCCTGAGCTGCTTGTGCCCATGTAGCCGAGCAAATGCGGTGCCCGCAGCTCTCCTTGAGATGGGGACTTTTTTGCTTTCCTTTCTAATGTTGGGATGTGTGTAGGGGCTCTCTCTGTCTTTGGGGAAGCCCACGTTCTCTCCTGAAATGTTACTCTCTCTCCGCTCGTCCTCTTCCTAAAGGTCACCAAATAAAATGATTTTTTACTTCAAATAAATAAACAAAAGGTCCACAGAAGATAAAACATTTACCACTCATAACAGCGTCAGTGATTCTAAAACCAGACAGCTGTGCACACCACTTACTCCAGAAGTGGAACATCATATTACTCTTGCTAGAGTCCAGAATGACAGTTTCAAAAAAATAATAATAACCAAAACCTTTTTACCTTTAGAAGTGAGTACTGTGCAATCAAGCCAAATGGTCCTGTGAGATACTCATCTCAAACTATTGCCTGCGGGAGAGAGAAGCATCCCGTTCTTTTAGTAAAAGGGATTTCAATAACGGCCAACAGCAAACAATAGTCATTTGCAAACTCTGGACAAACAAAACTTGCCGTTAGCAATAGCTAACCACACTCCTATTTTGTGGCCTGAAGAAAAACAGCGTCAGGGCAAGGGGCGCTACTGGCCACGGAAGCACATTCACTGTCATCCACAAAGACTGTGTATGCAGTGTCCTGGGGTCAGACTGGGGTCATGAACCCCGTGGGTGAACTGCCAAGGAAACCGTTCAACCCAGCATGTAACAGGCGTCACATAATCCAGCATCAATCAAATGAAAACCTCTCGTGTAGGTATCCCATAGGTATCTTAATTCTGAGAGAGTATTTGGAAAGCTGGGACAGTGTCAGGTGCCCCTGAGAGAGTCAGGCCTCCAGCTGACCTTCGCCTCTACCTAGGCAAGGATGGTGTCACTGGGGGCCAGGACGAATGCCAAGCGGCCTGTGAGCATTTCGCCTGTGCGACACCAGGGTCCTTTTTCCCCATTTGGCATAACTGATTGCGCGAACCGTGGAGGAACAGGCAGCTGGGAGAAGTGGTACCCAGGGTAGCATGCAGCGCCACCCCGCACACGGGGACAGCGGGGAGTGCCTGGACGCGGGGCTGTAATCGTCCTGCTGAGAAGGACTCAGGTCGCTCCCGTTTTCCTTCCCAGAGCCAGGCCACAGGGGCGGGGAGCGCAACGCCCCCTCTCTCCCCCTCTCTCGGGGCTGCTGACTCTGGGTGGCGCCCCCGGACCCAGAGGCCGCCGCCCGCCCCAACTGTCAGCTTGCTGCCCGCGCACATGTCCAGGAACTCGCGCAGCACGTTCAGGTTCACCCGCCTGACCACAGGTGCGTGGCCTTGGCTCCACTGGGCCCCGCCGCCACGTGACGCCGCGGTCACGTGAAAATAGTGACATCACACCCCCTCATCTCCCTCCATACCGCTAGGGGCGCCCGGGGTGCCCCACGGAGCCAGGGCACAGGCTTCCGAGACTCAGCGCTTCCCGGGGGCTGTACAGACCCCCCAGACCCCCAGCAGAGCCGGGGCACAGCGCTGCCTCTGCTCCCTTGGAGGGACCCTCCCAGGAAGCTGGGGACGGGGGACGAGGGCGCCCTGGCGTCATCTCCCCTGCACTGCCAGCTGGCCTTGCGAGGGCATGTCCCCCCCCCCGCCCCACCTCGGCTCCTGGGAGCGGTCTCAGGGGGTCCTTGGGTTCCCCTGGCTATCACTGGGTCCTGCCAAGTGAGGGACCGACCAGCAGCCCCAGCAGGCCGGTGAGCGGCTCGCTGCGCCATCTGCTGGCCGCTGTGCGAACTGCACAGGTGCCGGGCCCTGACTGGCGCAGGGGGTCCCGCCCAACGGCACCCAACAGCGCCTCGCTCAGGCTGCGTCCCCCTGTCCCAAGGGTTCCCTGCCCGCCCCTCAGGGGCCAGCCCGTGGCTGCGGAGCCGCAGGAGGTGGCGCTGCCCGCGCAGCGGTCCCTGGGGGGCCTCCGGCCGGATGCCCGAAATCCGTGGCGCCAGGTGGGTTGGCGGGGGCCGGAGCAGGGCCCGCGACTCCCGGCGGGCGACCCCCGGCGCCCGTCACCCCTCGCGGGGCGGACCCCAGGCCCCGGCGCCCATCGAGGCGCACCCCGAAGCCACGTGACCGTCTTTCCTGGGGGCAGGGGCGGGCGGGCGGAGGGGAGCACAGGGCGCGCGAGTCCTGGGCCGCGGGGGCGGACCCCCGGCGCGGGGGTCTCAGTCCTGAGGCATCTGTCCACGGGGCTCGGGCGGCGGGGGCGGGGGCGGCAGGACTGGATGGCGGCCTGGGATCCTGGCCCCTCGGGCGGGGCGGGCGGGGGCCCCTGGCGTGCGGCTTTGGGTCTGGGTCCAGCGGTGGCGTTGGGCTCAGGCTTCGGGCTCCTTATCTCCCTCGTGGGGGGGGGGCACCCTGCCCAGCCGGTCTAGGAGATGGGGGTCAGCGGGCGACCCGGGAGGCCCGCACTTGCCAGCAGGGGGCTGTCCCCGCTGCAGCGCCCCCGCCCCAGAATCACCACGCACCCCCTCGCCTGTTAGGGGGCGCCCTCCACTCCAGGTGGGAAAACCCCCAGCCAACTGAGCCTCCTAGGGCCCGCTGGCCAAGGACTGCTGGTCACAGGCCCTGAGGGTCCTCATGGCCCCTGGGGCCTCGACTTCCCTTCCTGTACCAGAAATCAACCCAGAGAGAGGCCAGTGCACAACTGCCCTAGAACCCCCGCTCAACGGCTCCCAGGACTATTGCGGGGGGAGGGGCCCAGGCGTTGATGCTTACACAAGTTTAGTGAAATTTTACTGACTGTGAGGGAGAAAAAGTTTGCCTGTGTGTACATGCCAGAACCAGCGTATCATTGTGTCCATTTGAATTTAAAGAAACAAGTTCATACCTTTGCGAGATGGAGAACAGAAAGAAAAAAAAAAGAACTTGTTGCAGCCCCACCCCACCCCCCAAAAAAGAATTCTTTTAAACACCTAATCCCAGGAAAAAGTGCTATTTCTTGAATAAATTATTACCAAGCAATGACAACAATTAAAACACACAGAAAAGGATGTGTGGGGGGTAGCACAGGGTGGGGACGGACATTCAGTCAAGACTGGGCAATGCCACAGCCTGGAAAGGACATGAGAGGGGACAGAAGTGTGGCTCGTGGGATGCATATTGGGAGAGAGACAGAGGTGCGTGTGAAGTGGGGGATCTCATTAAAGTCTGGGGTCCAGGACAGCAGTGGATGTTCGTGTCCTACTCAGTGTTTCGAATCTGTGTGCCTTGGGGATGGAGGGAATGCGCACCCATGGGAGAAGCTGGGAGGGCCACTGGGTATTCCCTCCAACCCACCTTGCGGCACTGGGTCATGCATGTTTAGATCACATGCTCTGGGCCATAGCACCAGTGATGCGGGCAGGTGACACATTGAATGAGGCATAACTTACAGCAACAAGCCGAGTCTCTCTGGTCCCCGGGTGAGTGGGTGAACGAAGAGCATGTTCCGAGTGTCAGATGCCTCCCAAAACTGACAGGAGGAATCGGAGACTGAGGCCCACGTTAGAAATGGCAGAATGTATGTCTGGTTAGTGAGACCCAAGATATCCGCACACACATTACAGAATTCTCATGGGTTTACGGCAAACGGGAATTCTCACAGAGATGAAAAGAGAAGTGTGTATTTCTCTCAGCGCCTGGCTCACACTTACACTCCAGATCATTAAATAGAAAGCAAAGAATCTGAGACTAACAGAGATCTCCTGAATTCAACACCCAAGGGCTGGAAATACACCGGAAAGGGTGGACTTCTGTGCAGTTAAGCTATTACATGAGCAACACCTCGCTAGGGAATAGGATCTTGTTTAGGTGGAAATAAGAGCGTTTTAGTGGAAAGGAAATCTCTGATGGGACCCTGTGGGTCAGGAATCTTGACTTTCCTATGGCATGTGTTTGGGGCTGGGCTGGGGTCTACACTTCACAGACAGGAGAGCTGGGTTGGTCCCCAGCACTGCATGGTCTCTGGAGCCAGGAATGACTGAAGAGCACTGTGTCCCCAAAGCAAAACAAAACAAACTTATTTGGTAACTGATCCCACCATAAGATTATTTTAAGAGTTCCTTGCTCTAAATCTAACACATACTTAGAAAGTCTGATTTTAAATGTTTATTCAAAGTGAAGGGGTTTAAGGAGGATGAGCAGAGTCTCCTGCCCCCGCGCCTGGCTGTCCTTGCCGGGACCCTTTGGAGGGGAGCAGGTTGAGTTTCCCTCCCCACCCCGACCAGGGCTCCGGCAGCCGAAGACCTCCACAACCAGCCACCACCATGCTGAGACCACTCTCCACAGGCATGAAGGTACTGGCAGAGGAACAAAGGCATGCGTGTCCTGGGGCTGAGATCTCCAAGCCTGCTCAGATTGGGGCTGAGCATCCTCCACTCAGATCCTCCATATTCCAGTAGGCAGGGGTTACACCCACCAACTGGCCCCCTTGTGCCCTGTAATCCCATCAACGGCCAAGACCCAGAGACTATAAAACCCAGCTCCCGGAAGCATCTTATTGTCTCATTCTTTCTTTGGATAAACTGGCAGGCTACCGAATGTAACCAGCCCACACGGCAGAGTCTGGCAAACTCCCCGTGGCTTACCCAATATGCCAAATACCAGTAACAATGATGAGGCTCATTCTACTAACGCGGAAAGAGCCTTGAATATGGCACTTTTTAAAAAATTCTCAGGGCTAGGACAAAGGAGACATTACTGGGGCCTGTTCGAGGCAATCGACGAACAACAGGATGGTTGTGATCGTGATCGTGAGCAGATTCCAATTTTTGGGGGGGAGGAGGGGGTCATACCGAGAGATCTCAGGGGATCCTCCTGGTTGTGCACTCAGGAATTACTCCTGGCAGTGCTTGGGGGACCATATGGGATGCCAAGGATCGAACCCAAGTTGGCCGTGTGCAAGGCAAACACTCTCCACGCTGGAATGTCGCCCAGTCCCACATTCCCATTCTTTGGTCAGGACTATCCAACTAGCCTGAGCCATCAGCTCTGAGGCAGGAGGGGAGGGCAGATTCCTTGGCGTGTTCCTGACACAAGCCTGGAACATTGCACAATCACCTGGCAGCCTTTCCTCGAGTGGGCACGTGTGGCGACCCCTACATGGACACGGCCAAACAGACCCTGGCAGCTGCTCCTGCTGACCAGTCCTCACGGCTAATTCCTTTGGTCTCTTCTCAGCTCTGACTTCTACCATGCAATCCACAAGTGGCTGGAGGACATCGGGCCTCTTTACCGATGCCCGAGTCACAAATACGTGGGCCCCTTGAAAGCCACACGCTTTAGATTTGGTGTCATGAGCAACAGCAGAGGGAGGAGAGCCGGAAGGGAGGTGTCCGGGGCCAGAAACCTTTCCCAAGCGATCACACTATCCAGATTCTTTCCTTACGACTTTCATAAGAAATAAATCTCAGTCATCATGCAAATGCCTTAAAGTGTTACTGGGCAGCCTTTCAAAATGCAAAAAACAAGAACCAAATATTAGAAACTAAAAAAATATATGAAATTTATTATAACGTGGATAGAGTTTCTTTAGTCTTTCCATCAAAGACACACAGATAGAGCAAAGGAAGCAGGAGTGGGAGGAAAAAGAGAGGGTGAGGTGAGCACGGCAGTGCGTGAGCGCAGAGACAGCCAGACATCAGCACACACAGTGATCTCAGGACCGCGGAGGCTGCCTCCCGGACCCGCAGAGTTCCTGACCAAAGCACGCACCTGACATTCTGGTTCTGGTATCTGTCCTTGGCCGTCAGGGAAGTGGGGTACGCCGAACAGGACCACCCCGCCCCCGTCTGCTCTGGGATTTAGCAGTGGTCGGAGCAGGGCAGGACTGGCCCTGCCTTCCGCAGCTGGACCTGTTTTCTTTTATTTATTTATTTATTTTTTTATTTTTTTAATTTTATTTATTTATTTTTATTGAATCACCATGAGAGACTTACAATCTTTCATGTTTGGGCTACAATCACACAATGATCAAACACCCATCCTTCCACCAGTGCACATTCCCCACCACCAATCTCCCAGGTATACCGCCCCCCTTCTACACCCACCCCTTGCCTCCATGGCAGACAATATTCCCCATACTCTCTCTCTACTTTTGGACATTATGGTTTGCAATACAGACACTGAGAGGTCATCATGTTTGGTCCATTATCTACTTTCATCACAAATCTCCCATCCCGACAGATCTGGACCTGTTTTCAACCTGTCTGAAAACCTAACTTGGAGACAACCTCCCGAAAGAAACGCTGACTTTCACAAAGTGCAGAGACACACCTTTGGCACACATCGCGTGCAGCTAAGCTGGAGATAAC